TCGAATAAGGGGATCGCGAATTCTTCGTAGGATTCGCGCGACGAAATAATCCGACAATTCCGAAATAAAAATCCGACGAGAAAGAAGGCACGTCTCTTTGGCCATGAAGAGACCGAATAATTAATCACGCACTCCACGCCATTCTCCACGAGAGCGCGAGCAGGCAGCATCGTAAGAAACGCGGGTTTGGATGCCCGTTACATTCATCCCGATCTCGAAGAGACTCTCGAATTTACGCTGTCTCATCAATCTCCGTCTTACTGCTACGCAACGACGCTATGCGGCGTAAAATCGCCGATCGAATGCGATCCGATGCGACGCGACGCGTGACACCACATTTCCTCTTTCTCTGTCTCTCTTTCTCTTTCTCTTTATCTGTCTCCATAGCCTGGAGCGAGCTACCTGATATGGGGAAAGGAAAGCGGCGACTCTCTTCCCACGAGTGCTAAGACGACGGTTCTTGATTGGCAAACAATTAGCGGCCACGACGTTGAGAGGAAAGAGAAACGACGAGGACGAAGAGAAGCGAACATACCGAATAGGTATGTATCACACGAGCATCTCTGGCCGGCGTCACGCATCCCCCTCTTACAACCCTCCCTCATCTCTCTTCACCTACTCCGGTAGGTCGCTCGTACGCCGATATCTCTACAATGAGAACAATACCGTAGTTTTTCCGCCGGAGCGAACAGACAAAGGGTGTGCCCGGAACAAAACCATCGTCACCGTCGTCGTTGCGAATCTCCGGAGAATTCTAGGGGCACGCTAAAATGCTCCGAATGCAGTGTAGGTCATAAGCCTCTCTATCTTACACGCTATTCTCATTAATATCTGGATACCTGAATGAACGCAACTCACATCTATGTGTTGTAGAATAAAAGAAAGTAAGAGAGATAAAGTAGAACTTATATTATTTTGAAGCAAGCTCCACAAGAGAAGAAACGAAACAATAAATATCACAAACGATAAAAAAAATAATGAATAAAAAAGAAATAGAGACAACGAATACATATAATATTTACATGTTGGCTGCTATTTAAAGATAAGTAATAAAAGAAACGGCAACACAATTTTGGCCGCGTGCATTATATTGAATTTTAGATAAAACGTGTCGCAATTCGAGAGCCTCGCGTTTTAATATAAGGGTTTTATATTTCATGTGCGTATCCAGCGAGACCTTTGCAGAGAACGAGCCACTCGGTCCTTCGCTGTCCGGCTCTTCATCTCCATCCGCTTCCCTCTCCCTTCCCGATTCCCTTTCTAGCTTCCGTTTTTCAAAACTGTGCGCCTCGATACCGTCCGTTATTTTCGGGAACCTCGCGTTCCTTTTAATTGGTTGGACGCGTTTCGTTGCACACGAAAATGGCACGGAACGTTCGTGTGTATTTTTTGTGTTTCTTCTCTGTATATCCCCCGTTTACCCCTCCCCCCCCTCCTCCCCCGCCCCCGTTACATCCCTTCGACAGTTCCAACGGCTTTTTCTACGGCGTTTTTCGACGGTCGCGCGAATTCCAGCAACATCCGTTGCCTTTGTCACCGACGATAACCACCGTCGCGTCGGCGGGATGTAACGCGACTCGAATATCCGAGTCGATGTCGTCGTGAGAGTCGAATGTACAAGAGATGGAAAGGCTATTCGCCATCGTGTTGCATTGTACGAAAGTTCGCGATTCTCGCCGATGAAATTGCCGCCGTTTGCGGCGAACCGACCTCGCGTCCCTTTCGATACTACAATCGCGATCAATTCTTTCCCGGATTCAACATCGGGGCCACGGCCAGAGGGGTCTAATTGCGCATTTCTCGCGCGGCGGTCCCTTATCGCGAAATCCTCGCTTTCGAAAACCGATTACTCGATTGGATTACTCCGACGCGCGAAAGGCGTTGGCGTTCTCGCTCTTAAAAACTCTTTGTATTCCGCGAAGCGTAAGCGGCCGATACCACGGGATGTACGCGGATCGTTTAGCAAGTCGTTTTCATGACGGCTCGGCAATCGGCGATGAATCGCGAGGAAATCGTCTTTGGAAGCTACTTGACAGTCCCGCGAAACGGTCGGTTCCGCGGTCGCCCATGGCGGGCGCGTAATCGAGATAGACAGAGAAAGAAAGAGCCTTGATGTGTGTCCCGGGATTCCTGCGAAATGCGCTTAAACGCGCCGCGACGAATCGTTAACGGGCTTCTAATCGCCGCGCGTTGCCAACGAGGTGGCAAGTAACGAACGAGCGAATACGAACTCGGAATGGTTATCACGCGCGCGCTTGCTTTTCTCGCCGAGCGGGTCAAGCGAGATTGGCAATATTTGTTGGCGAGCGGTAAGCACGTTTCTCGACATGCGCACGACATACTTCGAAACTTAAGACGAGTTTCCCCGAGCGATTAAATGCCATTCCAGCGTGATAAATACGTACTTGCGAATACGATCCCTATCAATATAGACACATTGCTTTCTTTGACACTATTACTTAAATTAATTAAATTGATTGTTTTACTGAATCGGTACATTTTAATTAGTACATTTCGATTGGCTCGAGTTACTATTATACGTACTTTCCAATTAAATAAACAATTGCGGGCAATGCGTTGAGATCTAGATCTTAGAGCGGCTAACGATTCGGAAGTGATGTTTGCCGCGAGATTCCGAGCGAGACTCGCTTCGCGCCCCGTAGCCGCCTTGGAACGGAGGTAAGCGTACGAGAGAGAGTTCGCCGAGACACGCTCGTTGTCGGAAATAACGACATAATGACATGGTACAGGATGAGTGCCCGAGGTAGGTAAATCCAAGGCACGGAGAGCGGAGACCAGAGCGCGAGAGAGATCGAGAAGAGGGAGATCGAGAAAGAGAGAGAGAGAGAGAAAACCAGAAGAACGGGATAACATCCAGCGAGCGAAGAGAAGGAGAAGGAGGTGGATCATCGGCGTGTCTCGGCAGCATCCCTGACCATCGCCGATGGTTCATCAACTTCGAAGAGTTGAAGAGGCCTTAATAAGCTCTCCCGCTAGAGACTGGACCACGTCACGCACCCTTTTACCTTCACGTCTCGACCTGATTTCGCGCGCGATTCTCGCCGCCGGACTGTCAGCCGCGATTCGGCCGGATTTATTAATCAGAGTCCTACGCCCCGAATTTGCATAACGAAATAAAAGATGCGGTCGTGTATGTTGTTGTATACTTGGCCAAGTCGAGGATTAAAACCGGTATAATTCCGATGAGAGAAGGTGTCGATGCCCTTAGAGACACGCAACAACAATTGACGGCGAGTGCACGATTGCGTATCTTAAAAATCGAAAATTAAAAAATTTGACAAAGTCGACGTTTCTCGATTAAATACCGCGATAAGAGATTAATATCAACGCCGCGTTTCCTCGCCAAGCAATTTTATCCTCGCTCTCGCGCGCATTAACTTGCAGCCGCTAACGAGGGGGCGGCTGTATACTGTATACACGTATCCTCTACAAACGCGGCGACATATTCCGTCCGTTTCTCTAATTATTGACCTTCGATGGACGCGCGTACGCGCAATCGCAATAACTTTAATAGCGCTTTATCGCGTTAACGGCCCGGGGTATAAATCGCCGGCGGATATATATTGATACAACGCGAAATTCCACGGTAAATGAAACAACGGCGAAATTGAGTGGTCAACGCGCCGACGCACATTACCGCGATAATTCCCAATAATTTATCATCGCCGCGTTGCGTTGCACGACGAAACCCGCGCACCGTGTAATCATCGCCGCTACATTTCCGAGCATTTCATGAAGGATTAAACGTCGTCTCGTAGCGCGCGTTTCGCGTCGCGAAATTTTATCGGTCGTAAAGAATCGACGAGGGGAAGGAGAGGAGGAGGGAAGAGAGGCGCGCCTCTCCTCTCCTCTCCTCTTCACTCTTAATGGGTTCACGCGCCGTGGAATCGCGCACAAAGCGCGACACGGGCCCCCGCGAGAGATCGCGACCGCGGCCGTGCCACGCTCTCTTTAACACCGAATCGGCTCAATTTTGCCCGCTATTTAGCGACGCCATGCTTCGCCGCAGCCGAATTAGCCGGATCCGCGGAAGCACGCTCGCCTCAATCGATACTCGGCTTTTTCGCGGCTTGATGCTCTCGCAGTACCTACTTCTGTATTTCTCTCAAAGACATTCGTAAAAAAAAAAAAATAGTGATGGAAACGAGAGACTGATAGAATTGTGTGATATCTTTATGTTCGAGATTATTGATATTTTTATATAAATTCCAATCATAGAAAATTTTAGAACCAATTAGTAATAAAAATAATGTCTGCAAACAATACCGACATTTTTAATAAAACGATATTTCAAGCACTAATATCTTCCATTGTTCTCTCTTATACAAGCATTTTAATATACTACAAAGCATTTCATTGTACAAGCATATTAATATACTACAAAAAAAATATTTATATTCGATTATTTTATTATTCGTTTCTTAACTCTCTTTGTATACCTACTTTCTGATAAATAAATTTTCCCTCAATAAATTAAATTATTTCAATAATTTTTCTATTTGACATTATTTACGTCGAATAATTTTTGTTTTTTTTTTTATCGATCAAAGACTGTAAGGAAGTGAATCGAGAATTTTTATTAGAGTCCCGTCATATGTTAGAGTTATTGTTATTTTTGTACTTCTTATCTTTCGTCAACTATTCTGTAAATCTTCTCAGAAGCGGCCAACGAGAAGACGACGTGGTCCTCGCGATTAATCATAAACTCGCGAAAGAGAGAGAGACCGAGCATGCGCGCGCGCGGCTGTAAATATAAATCGTGAATCCAATTTGCGGACGCCATAAATCAATAGCGTGATCACGATCCGGCGCGCGGAACAGTCCGACCAAGTCAAATCGGGGGTCCGGACAAAAGACGCGGTACGGACGCGCCCGTTGTCGCTCGAGAACAAAAGGGACGAGCTGTGGTGGCAAGTCCGCGGCATGCCAAATTTGACGGGAATAAAACCAAAGAGAAGCATAACCGGACTTCTACTCACCATAGAAACGGGGATGGGTCCTCCGGCTCCGTTGGGGTACGGGTACGGCGAGACGAGGTAGCCCATGTTGAACGAGGATGTGTGCGGCGTCGGATCCACCTTTCCTGTTTCGGAAACAAACGAGAAAAAAAGCACGGTTATTATGATATAATTGTCGATTTACTGTTGATTATTAATTACGCCGATTGCGTAAACTTTTTTGCCTTTTATTATAATAAATCTCATTCGATGAGATATTTAAATTAAATTAAAATTTTTTTAATAAAATGTTCACTTTTGTCGCATGTTTATTTCTAGAATTAAGGCCAAGCAATAGAAAAATTCTGAAGAATTTGTAATATCGCGCAATATTATTTATCAACCGGCCGGCCACACAGATCATATAGATCGCTGCACGTTAGTCAAACATTAAACGGACCACAGACGAAGAAACATACCTTTAAACGGTGGCCTGCACGCGAACGCAACCAAATTGTACAAAGTAAAAGGGAGCCCGACGGACCCGAGCTCTTCTCTCTTATAATACGACAATTTGCGTTTCGTGCAACACCGGCCTAAATTATACATACGTTCCCTATACAAATTGTTTTCATTTCTCTTTTTTCATAACAGTTTGCCGAAAAAAGTGCGAGAGATCGCGCGATATTTATTTTATCTAATTTTAGACCCAATTCGTACTTGGCTCAATTTTCTCGCGCGCATGCAATACCTCTCCTCCTCTCGCAAATTTTCATATTTGCGAGAGACCAGAAATATTTTAAATGCACACATACAATATGTATAAAACATTTTTCTCGACATAAAATATTAAACAAAACACGCGATCAGTCAATCGCGTTGCACGACTTATTGATTATGAACCGAGCTGGGAACGAGTCGCGCTCGCAATTTCACGTAACGTTGCATTTTAATCGAGCCAATAATCGGCCGCTTGATCCGCATACTTGTTTTGCCACATACTTGTTTTTTCTCGCCTCTAAATGTCTCTTCGTATAAATATTACATCTACATTAAAACCAGTCTTCGTTTAATGGGATTCGGCGTCGTTCGCGCAGAGAAGACCGATCCCGACGCGAAAACCTGCTCCAAAGATTCAGTGGCGATACCAATCGTCTATCGTCTACGGCTAATCCGTGAGGCGCGAGACGGATGCTGCAGTCGGAGAAATCTCTCTCGGGCTTATCCTTCCGCGAAACTGGATCGTCGTTCCGAGCGACAGGAGAAATCCTCGCAAAAGAATTCGCTCCGTGATACGATCGTTCCGAGACTCTGCTCCGAGACTCTGCTCCGGGTATCGTCTCCGTAATCAAGACGGATTTTGCTCTTGCGGAATCGTCAGAGTTCCCCAGGTTCGTTCCGTGAAACCCGATCGTTTCGATTGAAACTTGTCCGAGTCAATAGCGATCGTCCGTCGATTCGGCCAGCGAGTCTAGGGTTGGCATCGCGATAGATTTGATCGTCTTTAGGTAGTCGGCGGTACCGATTATTTCGCGATCGTGCTTGTAACAACAAGCGGAGAAAATAACATTCAAATATCCGCAAACTTTATAACGAGAACCGCGTTCTCTCTTTCTCTCTCTCAATGATATCCACTGTGCGCGCGTGGAATTAAAATCATTCCGCGATAATTTCAATGAGTTCGCGGGAGATAAGATCCTCTCTCGACACTCGACGCTCTATATAACGGTTGAGGAAATTAATTGATACTTTATTCTCCAGATACTCGTGCACTCTACGAATGAAACTGTACGTGTTGTACGAGAGGCATTCCAGCGTCAAAAATTTTCAATATATTCAATATATTCTTTTTTAGAATCAATAAAAATGTAAACTAGTTTAAATGGACGACCGATAAATGGTGCAAGTTCAATTAATATGTACTTGTCGTCTACGAGCTTGTTCGCGGTCGTCTCGGCCGCTCCGGTGACGACCGTGAAAGGGTCAATTCTTCGCGCCAGGCTTACGCGATCTCGATCGTCGCGCGACACGAGTCACGACCGTTGACCTTTCCCCCCGGAGCGAGAATACGAGAGACACATACGCGGCGCTCTCGCTCGCGCGCCCCGAGTTATTAAGACGCGAACACACGCTTCTGCCGCGTCTCTTCTGCTCACGCTTCGATGCAATTCGCGCGAACGCGCGCGAACGATTAAATTGTCAGCTACGCGACTCTATAAATAACGCGACCACGCATACCATCGAGTCAAGTCCCGCGATCCTCGTTTTATCAACGCCCGCGAGTCCGCCGATGAAAAGCCCTCGCGAGAGCTGGTTTTATCGAGTTTCTCGCGTCGCGCGTGAGAGAGAGAGAGAAAAGTACAACAAAATCGTGAATTAGAATATCAAAGTGAACGCTAGACTGTCATAAAGCAATAGACACCTCGTGTTTAGAGAATAACGATAAAAATAAATCTCGCGATGCAGTTGCATATCGATTCCTGGATATTCGTGCATCGCGACTTTCTTCGTCACGGAATTTCCGTAGCAATTTGGGGGGAAATCGCGCGAGAAGCTTGCAATGCTTGTCAAGCGTTCAGGCAGAACTTCAGCCGCGTTCCTCTCGTATCCACCCGCCCCGGCGAGTGCATATCCCGGGCGCGCACAACATGTGCGCCACACTCCTCGCGCCCAAAGTTTATTGCCAGCTCGTTGCCCCTCCTGTCTCTCTTCCTCTCATCCTCTTCCTCTACCCGTTCGTCCTTTCCATCACGATCGGCGCGACTCCTCTCCTCCTATCCCTCGCGCGTTCCATCGACCTTCCAATAGGCGCTACACTAACTGAAAGTTCGTGCACTCGACTTGTCTTCTCTTCGTTTCCTCTAGCCTCCTCTCTTCCGTCCTTTTCTCTTTCTCTCTCTCTCTCTCTCTCTTCTTCGTTCCTCTCCCGCGGGTTTGTTTACTTCGCAGTCTTGTTGGAATAATACCCCGGCACGGTAATTATAGATACTCGGGGCCTCACAATGCGACTCTGACACAAGTTTACAACCAGAGACACACACCCGCGGATACTTCTCGGTACTGATACGCGCGACGGCGTCTGACAGCGAAAATTTTGACATCCGATACCAACATCCGACCTCGGCTTCTTCATCAAGCACGCGGGCGGTCTGCTTTCTGTCGAAAGTGTATCTCTCGTTCGAGTAATTTGATCGGCGTAATTAAAATGTAAATGGCATTTTATTCAAATAAAAATGTAAGGTAATTTTCACCGATAAATATTGTAACATCTAATTTTTCGAATTTAAATTAATTGAAATCAACGAGTTAAGGGACGTTTTGAAAACGTTTATAATTTATAATTTTTCATTACATTATATTTTTAAAAAATTAAAATTTCAGAAATGCTGTGAAATATTTTTATTATGTGATAACGTGAAAATAGGCAAGATTGTAAAAAAAATGTTTGCGGAATGTTAAAAGTGAATACGAAGGAATTGGAATTTATGTGCGAGAATTGTGTTTAGGTAAATTTATTTATTCATATAATAATATTTTTATATTTCAAGAGTTGTAGTTTTTAGAAAAAATATATTATTTCAGCATTATACGAAATGTCAAAATTTCCCTCACAATCTCATCTCCGAGTAATGCAATAAGAAAAGAGTTTACGATATAAGTTTCACGATATAAAATAGCAAAATATAATACATATATAAGCGCATTTACTTTTAAATATTTCTGTTTTATAATAAAAAAATCTCCTCTCTTTTATAAATATATAAATCATAAAAATTATAAAATTCTAACCCAGAATTACATAATTTTGTTTTAGAGAGATATATCGAGAGATATCTAAATTATATACTTTACACATTAAAGAATTGGACGTAATTAATTTAATTTTGAATAAGAAGAAAAAAACTCTTTCTGATATGTTAAAGCTTCTTTTAACATTCTCTTTCTACCATGCGAGAAGAGAATCCCACTCTTCCTTTCTGTCATGTGAATTTCTTGCAGATTCTCTGGCGCCAGCGAGAAAACCCGCGGAGGAGAGTTCCAAGCAGCGAATATCAATTTACGAGAGGATGCGCAGCGATCGTGATTGCACGGGTTCTTAAGCAATATCCCGAGTTACCCCGCGATTCCGCATCGACGATTCCTGGAAAGGCACCCATTAGAGCGCGGAAGCCAAAGAGCGGAAGTTGTGAAGAGATTATTACTTGGGCTCGAAGTATGTCCCGAAGCGCTCTCGATCTCGCACCGTCGAGTGCTCGTGGGTTGTTTCTCTACGCATTGTCTCTATGCCCGAGGATCATTTCCGTTTGACATTTCGAATAGCAGCGAAGTTTTTTCTACCACACGTATCCCCGGCAAACAACGAGAGATCGGTCGGATATATCTCGCCTACTGGGAAAAACCACGATGATGGCGTCATCGTTACGGAAAAATGAGACTACAAAGCGTAGAGTTCTATCTCGATATACGCCTCCGCGATTAAAACGAGCTTATGTATAAATATCTTCTCTTTTTCATATATTTTTAATTTTTTTATTCCGCCGTACGAGAGAAACGTGCGCGCTGAGTTGAAAGTTGAAATGATATCGTTATAAAAAAAATAATACAAAATGTGACGTGGCCGGAAGTATGATTACTTTGTATCACGACAAAAATAGCGCGGAGGAGATATATAAATCTAACAATGTCAATTATTGCGTCTCTTGCGTTATCGCCTCGTTTCTCGAATGAAGCCGATAAAAGGCCGCGCGTTAGCGCCGCCTAATCCGGAGATGAAAGGATGGTGCCGTTTGAGCGGCAATTACGGACTTCTTCCAAATTCGAGCTTCAAATCACGGTCAGATCCCGGCTAAAAGGACACGGGAGCGGGAGAGCGTGCCGTTAATGCCATTACGAGCGAGCTTGTGTGTACAGCTTGTTGTCGGCTGGTAAATTACTATAATTGTGAAGTTCCGGCGATTTTTAGATTAGCTCTGGTCCATCAACGGCATATACCTACCCACCGACCTGCCGACACTGTCCAGCGATTCTCAAACTCGGCGCGGACCCGCACGTTACGGACCGTATTCACGAAAACTGCATCCACCGTTAAATGCGACCGCTCAAATATCACGTTGTGTCTAAATTAATTTTTAACTTTGAAAAACCA